ATTTGAGATCAGCAGACAAAGCTGGGTCATTCATTTCATTGAATAATCAATACGTAATATTTACGAAAGCTATTCAGAGTGCAAAATATCAGGACGAGAATTCTCGTCACCCGGACCCAAAGGGTTAATATTTTTTGGTAAGTATCGAAGTTTTCAGTACTTTCCCTGGTACCGAACCGAACGATTCCATACCTAACAGGGTACCGAACCGAAATTTTCGGCACTGTGCCAAAACAGTACCGGTACTGAAGTACCGACAATTCTCCAATCTGAATTAGAATATGAACGTCACTTTAATTCTGTTCTATTTCACCATATTGTTTTCTATACATATTGAAGGGAGAATTTCAAACCCAAAAGGAAGCAGCATGGTGTATAAGCAATTTGACATTGAGTGGTACGCCGCCTCAAGTTGCCTATGTAGTTGAACAAGGTGTTATACATCCATTATGGTAAAAATGACTTAAAAGTTGAAAAGTGAAGTAAAGTAATTTGTTATTTGTTTAGTAATTTGTTACAACAACATGATGCCCAAGTGCTTCAAGTTTGTCTTGATGCTATTCATAATATTTTGAAACAAACAGCAGCAGACAAAATTGATGATGTCACAACCGAAATAGAAGAATGTGGAGGTATAAATGAACTTTGATTTTTAATTAAAACGTTTATGAAAGTAAATTTAAAGAATATAATCAAAACAGATGTGATGAGCAGTGATGAATAATGTGAAAAACTATACCCTATTTTCTGTTATTTTGTGCTTAATATCTACTTTTTTTTTCTTTAGGTTTAGACAAAATCGAAAATTTACAAAATCACCCAAGTCAAGAAATTTATCAGCAGGCTTTCGATATTATTGAAAAATATTATTCAACCGAAACGGTAAGTCAAAGCTATAAGTTTTACTCTACAGTAGTGAAAAAAAATTTCACCTGTTTTTATCTCATATGCTCATTATTTATTTTCCAGGATGAAGAGACATCAACAAATGGTCAAGCGCCCGCTATGGAGGGTGATTTCTCGTTCAATAATCAAACTGTCCCACATCAAAATTTTGACTTTTGAAACAATATAGAAACAACTACTATCAAAAGTCATGAAACTTTTGTTATTCTCTTTGTTTGCCTGTGTCTATCTTGTCTTTGCGTAAAATGAGCATGTCTTTGTTTTTTGGTTTCTTTTTTCTCGCTTTTTTAAGTCTTGATGTTGTTTATTATTATTTTTGATTAAACGTGAGATATCAACTGGAAAAAGACGGATGAATTACTGTGTCAATTTTTTTTATCTATTCATCTTGATGTTTTTTGTTCGTTGCTTTTTCCCTCTCTTTTCTATTCTAGCTAAGTTTGTGTATTTAACAAAAAGATTGGATTTTTGTTTTTGATTTATCTTACGCACATACTCTGCCTTTTCTACTTTTTCTGTATATCTATCTAGATATTTTTACAATCTGAAAAAAAAGCAACAAAACATAAAGAAACAAGTGATGCTTTCACTTGTGATGAGTGTAGGTATCAAGAGTGTAATAGAAAATTGTATTAATTTATAAAAAACATTCGCTTTCTTAGAGACAAGAATCAATTATCAGTTCTGGATATTAAATATTCTTAAATTATTGGTTGAGATTCACATATTTTCTAATTAAAATGCTGAAAAGTAGGCAGAAGTTTTTTTATATCTTTGTTTGGATTAGGAAACAAATCTTCGTCACTGTCTGTGAGAAGTTTCTGCACTTTCGGTTTTGAGTAGTAAACTTTAGATAGATTACGAAAAATATTTCAGACAAAAACTAAGCTGTTCAGTAAATAAATCATTGTCATTTTCTCGTTACATGTATTCAACAACAAAATGAGAAAGTTTTCTGAATGCTGCCAAGAAAAAGGTTATATCGTTGAAAACGGAAAGAAAGATTAGTATTCATTTCTTTTTTAAACCATTTATTTACTAACATATTGGTACAGTGGCAAAATGTAGTCATATATGCCACATACCCTTGTACAGTAAAATAATAATAAAGAGGACTCGAGCAGTCAACAGAAAAATCGTTACAATTGTTACTTTTTAGAAGGTTGTAATTTGTCTGAAATTTTTTTAGAGATGCTGATATATAGGAGAGAACATGAGCAGTAACCATTAAATAATAACTGTAATCTATTTCTAGTTTAATCGCAATAAATGACGTAAATTTGTTCAATTCATCGATAAACATTTCCCAAGATTTGATAAAACTACACATGAAAAATAACGATGCAAATAGGAGAATAATCATTGGTATCAAATTGAGGACTGACAAAACAGTTTTATATAGAAATAGAACAACAAGAATGATAGATGCAAATCATCGTCTTTTTAAAAAAATTTTCTGATAAAATGAATTATATTTATTGTCATATTTTGCAGAAAAAGTGTCGTTTTTGGCCAAAAACTCCACATGTGACTTCATGTTAAATTCGTACTCGTAACGAGATGAAAAAACGCTTACGTGCATCTAATATTGGCTGTTTGAACTCGTACGAGTTTAAAATCATGTTACGAGTTGAAAACTGTGTTATGTTCTAATATAGTATAGGGGAGGCTGGGGAGGCTGTTTTGAACTCGTACGAGTTTAAAAACATGTTACGAGTTGAAAACTGTGTTATGTTCTAATATAGTATGGGGGAGACTGTTTTCCGAAAATTTGTATATTGGGTTTATATGATTTCCCGTCCTCCGTTTTTAATAAAACTTTGGAAACATGTATACGGTTAGCATGGACTAGCAGTAGTGGCTCCTGGGCTCTGATATGGGTTTTATGGTATTCTTTGGCTTTTGATAAATAATGTGATATTTGGTATGATGGCAGGATATTGTATGGACGGATGTGTGTAAATTTTTCTTAGGAAAAAAATGTTTTGTCCTAAAGGGACGCTGCGTTTGTAAAGTCTTCCTGTTGGGAAGAAGACTGGATGGACCCGCCTTACCATCTGGGCTGATGCATCACTACGTGATTGATGTCATTGTTCCGAACAAACCAAGAGATACAAAATAAGTTTTAAGTTCTTCGTTAATGGCAAAAAGAAAACAGAAACTTTTCGTAAGAAATGCCTGGACAAGTCGATGTTAGTGACTTCGTTCACAGCATTGAGAACTAAGGGGTAGTGGTGGAAGTATGTCGAAGCTTGAAGAATTGTATTGATTACAGCATTTAGAGAAGCATTTTGACAAACTTGCACATGCATAGTTTTTTAGTTTCAAGCGTTTTTTAAAAACTAAAGTTTTGCATAAAGCCAGATGTTAAGAAAACCCACTAGGAAGTTTGAGAAATTATTCATCGTTTCATACGGAAAATCAGCTTATACTGAAAGATACAGAAAAAAGAAAAAAGCTCGATGAAAAGGATCTAGATTTAAAAAAGGAAAACCCTTTAATCATCTTACGCTGCTTCAGTAACTCCGTGTTAAATGAAGCTGCAAAATCGTCTTGTTTTAGTTGAACATATAAATCAGGGATATCACAAAATAAAAGGTAAAAATCAGAAAAAGCTCACAAAAAGAAATGTAAAATCAGAAAATCAGAATATCTCTGTAAGAAAAAGAGCAGAAACAAAGCAGAAAAAATTTCAAAAAGCAGAATTTTTCTGCCAAAATCAGCGGATCTGGGATCCCTGGCATAAATCCACGATTCTAATGATGGTATCGATGTTAGTAATTTTTCCAATCTAAATAATCAAGTCGTTGACATTTATCAGTTATTGACAATTTTAATTCTTTTAGTTGTGAAAACGTTTTGATAACTGCTGAAGCTGGTTCACATTCAGTACGAGAACTTTTGATATTCGATGACTATAGATTTGGAACATATTTATTTACTAATAAAGCATGCACCTAGACCAGAACCTCTAAAACTGCGCCACATTCTTAGCACTTGCTGTTATATCTTATATATCCACTCACTCTCATCTTCCCACCCCCCACCCCTCCAGGCCGACGAACACATTTTATGTTCATTTGTGAAATACACGCAAAACTCACCGCTTCATTTTCATTTTCTCTGTATACGATTGACAAAAATGAGACGTAACTAGTCTTCTTTACCTTGCCAGTCTCACAACTGATGAACCCTGCTTTCCCTACTATCTACTCAGTGAATGCCGAGCCGGTTGTTGACTGGAATCCATGCATCCGCGTCTTATCAAGTCTTTTGCTGCACATAGGAAAAGCTTTTTCAACACTTTTTACTTATAAAAACTTGTAAAAGGTGCTACGTATGAGACAAGTATACATAGACTGTACTTGTATCTTCTTTTCAATATGAAAAATTTAACTAAAGAATACAGACTGACCTAGTGTCTTAGTCATCTCTTTGAATATTTTCTCTCTCGTGGTTAACAAACAATTTTCTGTTTTTCTCTCGTGGGATTGACTTACGTAGGGAATTGAAAATGTGACAGCCATTTTTTCGTATTATACGCACACACAGACAGCCATTTTGTAATACCCAACACTAAAGTCAAGGGAACACTCAGAGTATACAAGGTAACACTCGTCTGCACTCGCTCGGTCCGCTGACTTTTGGAACTTATATCTGTGAACGACCTCCCATGACTTTGAAACCAAGACAACACTCACACCACCCTTCGATCGGCGTTTGCTAGACGACTATCTAAAATATGTTATGAATTTTTCTCTGATTTAATGTGTAAGCTTTGTAGTCTAATACAAATCAAAAAAAGTTTTTTGGAGACCCTCCAAAGATCCCGAGAGGTCTAAACATATTGACAATGGCAATATTCTGACTGCCCTAGTTTATAAAAAAATGTTTTCAAGTTTGTTTTTTGAAGGCTTTTACAATAAACTTCTGCTTGAACGAGTGGCGATCTTCAAATTTCTTACGAATTTCAAATAGATCTTTCTCTTAAGAGTACAACACTCTTCAGAACTCGTACGAATTCAAAACAGCCTTCCCTATACTATATTACAGCATAACACAGTTTTCAACTCGTAACATGTTTTTAAACTCGTACGAGTTCACAACAGCCTCCCCAGCCTCCCCTATACTATATTAGAACATAACACAGTTTTCAACTCGTATTAGAATATAGCACTCATTTGGACTCGTAACGAGTTCAGCTTCCCACTGTAATAGAAGACATTAGTATTTTTCATCTCGTAACGAGTTTAAAGACTGCCACCCGTGCCACATGTGTAAAAAGCATGTCTTTGCACATGCTCACTAACCTTAGTTTAGTATTGCTTGTTGGCTTTTCTTAGTAATCACTTTTTTCAAGTATGAAAAACAATATGCATCATTATTTCTAGAAATGGTTTCTTTTAACTTATAGAAGAATTCAGCGAAGCTCTAAAAATCTGTAAACCGGTTTCCGTGAATCCTCCAAAGAGCTCTTATTGATCTAAGATGGTTGTAGAACCATTTGCATCGGATAGAACACGGTTGAAGGTGTATAAACTAGTGAGTTTGATATGATTTTTAAAGAATCTCTAGGAAATCCTTTTCGAAAACTTTTAACAGACATAAATAAGCAAATTCCATTGATTTCACGCTCAAATTTTTGTGAGATATCGTTATGAAACTGAAAAATTGAGCTTTTAGCATTTTGAACAATAACTTAGAAAATTCATAATTTTTGCAAAACAGATGAGAGACTTATTTTCCCGTCCAGACTCCTATCTATGCTCGCCTATGCTCCACTCAAACTCGAAAAAGCTATAAAAAAGACAGGATACTCTTAAACATTCCAGTAATAAGATTTGAATAACTGTTGATAATCAACATTAATTAAAACTGGTATCATCTCCAATTAACGAGTCAATATGGGTTGCTTACACTGTGCAGTAGTTTCGGTGCTATACGCTATTGCGAAGGAGAGTCTAGTATTTTATTCAAAAATTTGTTAAAATAACAAAGCTAGTGAATGCTTTGCAGTTCCCGAAAAGACCTATCATCTACTCTTCAAAAGAAAAGAGTTACTCTAGAATTGGTCCTAACCCTTTGTAGGTTTAGCCTTCTATATTGTAAATCCAAAAATGTTTTCATCCAATAATTGAGAAGAAATCTTTAGGAGTTAA